AGTTGGGGAAAACACCTATTGTTTCATGAACAGTTATATACCAAGTACTCTGCAAATGCTTTACATATGTCGCCTTATAGAATCCTCACAAATTCAAACCGGAGACAGGTGTTGTGGCACAGTGCACTAAGCCTGGCATCCTAATGCACAGTGGGATTGAGTCCCGCCTCGGTGCTTCCAGTCCAGCGTGCTGCTGTGCCTCGGAGGCAGCAGGTGGCGGCCTAAGGATTTCGGTTTCTGCCACCCGTGTGGGAGACATGTTGGAGTTCCAGGAACTTGGCTTTGGCCTAGTTCAACCTCAGCTGTTGTGGGCATTTGGGGAGGGAACCAGCAGATGAAGTATCTGTGTGTGTCTGTGTGTGTGTGTGTGTGTGTGTGTGTGTGTGTGTGTGTGTGTGTGTTTCTAATCTTTAGGAAACAACAAAATGACATGTTAAAAGTATTTAAGCTAACAAGATGTGTATCCTCATTGTTCCACTTTACTGGATGAACCGGTGAGGCTCAGGAATGTTAAAGTGCATATCCCAGGTCTAAGAGCCATGATTCAGGGTGGCAATGGCACATGAGAGGACATGAATCGGGGACCCCTGGGAATGTGCCCCTCATGCCCTCACAGCAGTGTCTGAGGGTGCCATGTGCAGTGATTTTTGTCCTGTTCCACTTAAGTCTCTTACTGAACCCAGGGAATAAACAACATTGAAACTCAGAATTTGTAATTTCTATTCCAAATAACACTGCTTTAGTCTCTGAGTTCTTGATTGGTGTTTTAAGAACATCTCTCCTAGTTTAGAGTTGTTTGTTTGTTTGTTTGTTTTAATCTCAGTTACTTCTAACAAAGCATTGCAGACTTTAAAGAGTTAGCCAAATCTGGTTATCATTTGTGTGTGTGTTTTTGATGGAATTCTAGAAAATAAGTTTGTATTACATAGAAATGTGTACATATACATGTTTATAGAAATACATATACTGAAAGAAAAATAAAAATGTTTATTACAGAAAACAGAGCAATAAGAAATTAATCTTCCTTAAAATTAAATATTTAGCCTCCATTGAAATTTCATGTCCACTGTTTTTAGTAGCTACATGTACACTTTTATTTTAAAAAATGCTCTATAAAGTATGTCACATGATAATTATATGTTTATGTATAATGTTATATATATAACACAGTTGGTACTTTTTGCTTAGGAATATATTATGAGTATTTTCTATGATAATCGATGTTCTGCTATGTGGTCTTGGGAGTATTTGTAGTCATCATGTACAAGTGCTGTAATTGAATTAAATACTTATTTTACATTTGGTATACTCACATATATTTGCTAGTGACTTTGGTGTGATTTATGCTTCTGTTGGTTTTGACAATCTCAAAAGAGGGCACAAATTAATTCCTTGTCATTAACATCTGTGTGAAGGCTAACTTTGGAGTCATTTTCACTCATCTGATGGAATTTTAAGGCCTTAACAAAGGAGACCTTGCAGTCACCTAGGGTAACTGCAGTTTTCCTGGCAAGTGAGCCAGTCTGTTCCAATACACTGTTCAATAGATGTTAGACCCAACCAAAGGCCATAGCCTGCAGCTCTTTTTTGCATATCTTTGCTCAAATGCTTCTGATCAGCATAAAGGTCTGGGTTCTGACACAAACATAGTTTGAAAAGTTGCTTCCGAAATCTTCAGAAGTGCTGCACTTCAGAATCAGCATGATTTGCAAATCCGGGAAGGAAGTTAGAGGCAGTGCAGTGGGCAGGATAGCACAGAATCCTGGCTTAGCAAATAGAAGCCAGGTCATTAATATAGACAGGGCAGAGCGTGCTCTCTGATTTGTGAGCTGCAGTCCTTCTAATTGATTTCTGCATACTTGTGGATAGGAATCTGCCCTCTTCCATTTATTTTTCTCCTGACAAGTAAGATGTGAAATGTTGTTCCATGCCTTTCTAATTTAAATGTTGCACATGCTGAGAACTGATCTTGCCAGCTATTTTAAGCTTGGCCAGAAATGTAACACGTTTGTTATTAGCCTTCTTCAGTTGGTTGGAGCCAACATTTTGTTTGGAACTCCTAGTGGCGTATCAGTCTCCTTTATAGGCATAACCTATTTCTGCCATTAAAATAGGATAAAAAGGGAGTTACTTTGTTGGTGAGCTGCTCACATCTGCAGCCTCATGAGGCAATTAGACCAGAGGTTGCTCATTTTCAGAAACTTCTTGGGAAGTGAGATTTCAATTCAAGTTTTTGGGGTTACTTTACTATGCCAGGAAGAGTAACAGGTGCAGCAGAAAAAAATAAGACGGTAAGATGCCAAGCTTCGTGCTCTTCGAGTCTTTTGACTCAGGAAGAAAGACAGACAACAACCTTAGGTGGTCTGTGAACAGTTGGCATGCACGAAGATCAGAGAAAGATGTTGGAGGGGAAGCAGTCTTTGCTTATGGTTTGCCTTTGAGGACAGTGTGCTTAGCTGACTATACCTGGCTCAACCTGCAAGCCAAATAAGGCATCTTTTATCGTATATTTTCAGTCAGTAGGTACTACCCTGATGAGCCTTCTGTGGGGTGTCCAAGATTTTTTTTTCACATTATAAAAGCATTCTAGTTATGTGGAGATTGGAATCCTTCTCTCCCACCAAGCCATCTGGGGGGGACTTTCAGTGCTGATAGAATTGCTCCGTACACTGCTCAATTCCATCATCATCAGCCACCAGCAGCACTTCAGGACTTGAAATATGGGTAGAGATGGATGCATTTTTATTTTTCTTGGGTTTCAGTTACTTTAAACGTAAATAGCCACAGGTGACAGGGGCCACCACTGGACGGAGAGAGCACAGACTGATGGCATCCCTTTGTTAGAAAGTTTCTAAACCTTCCTTTCCCTATCAGGTTGCCCCTGCTGCTCTTAATTTATTTTCTAATAGAAAATGTAGGTAGTTTGCCAAGCCCAGTTCTTCTCTGGTGCCCTGTTCCTGAAGGTTCCTTAGACCAAGGGAAGAATTCCTTCATAGATATTTAATGAAATCACCATGAAAGTCTTTCCCTAACCATAGGAATAAAGGATTCATAATTTACACATTTCTTACAACTACCATCTGAGGTGTGTTTATACCTAGGACCATAAGCCAATTCATGCTTAGTTTCGAAATTCATAAAGCATGAATTTTCTTTAAAACACTGACTACTTCATAGGCAGTGTCTCAATCATCAGACATTCAGATCAAAATTTTATTCTAGGGCTCTCATTAGGCAAGAACGTTTCGTCCTTTGTTTTCCTGATGATTAAGGAAAACCAAATGGTCCCCTCTAACTTACGCTGAAACAGTCCAGTTCCAAACACTTTACAGGTTTATGTCTCTCTCTTGACTCATCACCTTAGAGTCTTTCAGACCCTTGCTGGCAGTAGCAACGTACGTAATAGCTTTCATTAAACTAGCAGTCATGAGACCATAACAGCTATCTCAGAGAATAAAATGCACCTTCGGTGTTTGTATTGTGGTTGACGTTCACTGTAAATCTAGTGGTAGTTAGATTGCTAGGCAATTCTGTGTTGCTGTTGTTCTCCAAAGATATATATATATATTTTGCCCTGCACTATTTTAAGACAAGGTAGAAGGAAAAAGCACTAGCTTGCAGAGTCCAAAATGACAAATGACCAAGAAGTTCTTTCAGAACTCGTGCTTGACATGTTCCCTCCCACACAGTAAACCCCTTTCCTAGAGCAGATCGGAAAGATGTCCTTCTGCCAAGGCTTGCTTGTCAAAGGGCATTTCTGTACCACCTGTAGCCCGTGTGATGATGCCCACTACGCTCCCCTCCCTTCCTCTCTCTTCCCCTCCCCTCCCCTCCCCCTACATGAGGCCAGAGGCTTGAAGGTTTCTTGGTGTAGCAGACCCACAGTGAGGAGGGTTTCAGTCGCTGAGCCTGGCTCCTGCTGGTCTGTGTACCCTGTGTCAGGTACACCAACAGAAGACCGTGCATGGGGGACACTCCAAGAACATAAATGCTCCAGTATATGATGATGAAAACACAGAGAGATGGGCCATAAGCTCCTTTCTGTTGATCAGTATGCTTTCAGCCTTCACCCTCCTCATCCATTTCCACTGACAGGAAAACCCAGAGGCAATGATTTTGACATTAAAATGTTTGTACATCTCCTCACATAGTATTTCTCTAATTTTAGTTGAATACATATCCTCCTACCCCATCACCTGCTAATCTCCATTTCAAGGGAGGTGCGTGAATTATTTAGGTTGTGGTAGTTGTAGAGTTGTAATAGTGTGTGCGGGAGGGGTCTGGAAGGGGCCGGAAAGAGGGTGAACCACAGAGAGAGAGCGCATGCCAACCAGCAGAGGCGTGGACATTTACAAATATGAGATACTCTTCTAATTTTGCTTCCTTTTCTGTTCTATGATTATACAAAGGTCAATAATGGACAATATCTTCTCTCAGATCCCAGAAGCACCTTCCCTCTTGTCTTGTATTCCCACCCCCTTTGTAGGAGATAGAAACGATGAGCCAGGAGCTGATGTTTGCGTCTTTGGGAAGTGAACTAGAGGATATTGCAGCGTAGGGTCTCTCTCTTTCCCTTCCCTCGAGTCTTCCAGTGCTAAAGATGCCACCCTCCCTTCCCTTCTCTCGCACACAGTTGGTTTAGCCATAACCTTCATGAGTCTATTTTAGATATTTCACACTGTTTAAAAAATCATACCAAATTATTGTCTTCTGCGTTTTCCTTTATGTTGTTTGAATCTGCATATACTTCTTTGACTGTGTATCTTAGCCTGAAAGCCTCAGATCTGCACTGTAGGGAACTAATGTAGGCCTGATCATCTGTCAGCAAACTCTGGGTCACTGGATGTTTTAGTCATTGCCTTCAAATGGAGGAATGAAGTTACAGGTTTGATAAGTGCTTGTACATGGCGGCTTTGGGGAAATCCACCTTTCTATTTCCAATATTGAATTCCAAATTACTCTGTATTAACACATCTGTGTTCTGCCTTTTTTAATTTCAGTACCTACTAGAAATGAAAAGCTTAATCCTGCCCCCTGAGCATATCCTGAAGAGGGGAGACAGTGAAGCAATAGCATATGCATTCTTTCATTTGGCCCACTGGAAAAGGGTGGAAGGGGCTTTGAATCTTCTGCATTGTACGTGGGAAGGCAGTAAGTAATTTTCTTCCTTTGAAACTTTTTAAAAAGAATACAAAAATATGCTAGAACTGTTTTTTTTTTTGTGGTGAATATTCATGACTACGAATGAAGATATGCCTGTTGATGCTCTTGTTTTCTGTGATGACCCCTCACTAAGGAAGTTCATTGCTTAGGCTGTCCAGGTCCCTGGTGTTGATGGGTAGCACTGTGATGACTCCATCTCTACAGCTCAGAAAGACCAGTTCATGCTGTTGGTGGGTTGACTCTGACTCTCTTCCTGAAAGTACTCTGTTAATCTGACAATGGGAAGCTCTGGCATGGGGTCACACCTTGTGCTAGGTTCTACTTACCATTCCTAGGTAGCCTTTCTAAGAGGACTGCTAAAGCCAGTTATTCTTCACTACAGCTCGGTTAGGCCTGTATAAAGACAGTCAGGCGTTGAAACTAAAACAGTGGTGCTGGACTCTAGTAGTGCTCAAAGGGAGGGATGGTGTTTGCGTGTTGGCTTGTAGATGCCTGTTAGAGGGATGTCAGATGCTATCATATGAGTAAAAGTCCTAACAGCGGGTCAGATGTACTCCCTGCTCTGGAAAAGCATGTCGCCTAGCTGGGCAGTAACCAGCAGCACACAGTGAGTTTTCCGAAGAGGAAGTTCTGTGGAATAGCCCAGTCCTGGGTAACTTCATGAGTCAAATGAGATCCGAACTGAATCTAAAGGAAATAGACCAGTGTTATATAAACTAAGCCATGTGTGGCAAAATAATATACAGTGGAGGTGTTTGAGAAAATACAAATTCTTTCAAAGAGCATAGATGATTACATTTCATATGTATTGAAACTCTGCTAGCATTCATTTAAGCAAAATAAATATGACAAACTATGTTTTTCCCCCTTTCATGAGGAAACAAAACAATAATTACTAGAGTCTTATGATAATTTTTTCCTAGTTCACCCTTAATGTGATCAGCCTCACTAACACGTGTCTTTTTAGTCCATTTCACTCTGTTTATCTTCACTGCTTCCATTTTCATTCTGATAATCTTCAACTCCTCCCGTTTCCTGTCCTTCCTTAACCCAGCAGAAATCCAAGTTGGTACAGGAAGGGAGGTGAGGGGGAGTGAACCAGGTTGGGGTAACTCGAAGTCGACAGAGATGAGACTCGAGGTTGTCAGAACATTGTTTTGAAAATATTTTTCTAGAGAATGAATAATGAATTCCTTTACATAATTTATTCTTTATAACTGCAGGATGTTGATTGGAGCATTCACTGCTACTTTGTAAGTGTAACACAGTGCAGGTGTCTGGTCAGCACCAACAACTGTGCATGCTGTGTTAGGACACAGTACGTTCTCCTAGGCTTGTGTGTGGCCATAGTAGTTTGCTTTTTTGTTGCGTGTCAGATATTTTTTCTGGAATGGACAAGAGAAATGTTTATTTAAGCACAAGAAAGAAACCAGAAAGTCCAGCAAGGCTGAATATGAGGAGTGTCAATGAATGCTGGCTGTGCAAAAAAAATAAAAATTAAAAAAAAAAAAGACAAATTAGCTTACCAAATAAGAATGCGCTGCTACGTGAAGCTTTTGGAAAGAGTGATGGAATCTTACCTTCCAGCAATGGAACCTAGCACAAGTTCTATTCTACTAAGATGAAATTCACCAGTCCCTAAAGTAAGGACATAGATCGGGCAGGACAAGGGGTGAAAAAGACATGGTGTTGGGAATGGTATCATTGTAAAACAATAAAATAAATCCTGTGGGGAATGATTGCAAGTTCTGTTTGGACATGGGTGATCTGATAACAGTGGGAGATGTTCGGAATCACCTTTGGAAGAACGGGGGACCGAGAGAAACGTGCAGTGACAGGGAGCTGCCAGCCCAAGCAGGGGAGCAGCATAAGGAAAGGCAGGTTAGATTCGCAGAAGCAACTTACCAGGAGAAAAAGCAAAGGGGAATTTTTAGCTGTAAACCAGAATGGTGAGACCATCAGGTCCCTGGAGGAAAAGGATATTCTATATTTGACTGTTACAAGGAGAAACAACTCTGGAAAAGCATTTGTGCAAACAGGGAACCATGATCTCATCCAAAGTGAGTTCTGCTGCCGTTCTTTCTCCAAGGGAGCCAGCCATTCAACCAAAGAAAAGAGAACTTTGGGCGTCCTTATTCTTGTAGACTAAATGCTTCCAGAATGCCAAGAACCTTGAAGAACAGTGTGTAAGTGGGCACTGCACAGGGGCTTGCATTTATGCTCTGTTACTTCCTCCTCCTGAGGGACAGGATGGGCATCTTGGAGTTTCAGAGGAGGAAAGAGATGCATTGAGACGACCGAGTGACTTGCTGGAAGCCCTGCAGCCAGTCGCTGTTCCCTCCCTCCTCTGAGTGGATGAACCAAAGGATCAGTCATTCCGGAAATGTTTGCTCCGAAGCCAGCCCTTGTCACTGACATCATTATTTACATGCTATGGTGGTGCTTGGAGAGTTAATCATTCTGTAGACACAATTTGTATTTTGTTGTTGAGTATTGGCTCACACATTTTAAATAAAGAATGAGATCAATTTTATAGAACAAACAATGCAGACATAAACAAAAAAACTGGAAATAAATACACATGCTTTGAGTAGTTACTAGTGAATTGTGGGTTTTGACAGGAAAAATCATGTTTATTTACGTGAAAATGTCTATATTTAGAAAAAATTGTAAAACATTAGAAATAAATTTGGTCTTGTTTAAAAACAAAGCTATAAAGTGTTATGTCATTTAGAAGACAGAATTACCATTCCAACCCCAGACAACTAATGCAGTCTTATGGAATTATTTATAAGTCTGTGTTTGAGTTAAATCAAATTTCAGAGCCCTGGATTTCAAATCAGTGGACTTAGATTAGAATCCTCACCCACGTAGGTGAGATAGGTAGAGTGGTTTATACTTAACTTACTTGGGTTTTGGAAGCATTGAATGCTATGTCCACCCTAGGTTGGTGAGTTTAGGGCCAAGCAGCCCAGTTCCCTCTCAGGGCCGCGGCCCCACCCAGTCTACCCAGAATAGGCTGTAGTTCCCCCAGCACACCACTGGGTGGTGCCTTTTGACATCATCACCCTCATCATTTTTCCACTTAGAATAATTTTTTTTCTTCCTTCTGAAATTTAAGATCATTCTTCAGCTTCCTTCCAGCTTTCCTTTTTCAGTTGAAAGAACATCCAGGGAGGAGGTAACAATACCTATTTTCACCAGGTTCCATGTTTTAGATGATGATGTGCAATTTAGCTTTTGGAGATGAAAAGAAGCTCTTGGTTCTGTCAGAAGTGTTGCCTAAGGGACAAGGGTGGAAACATTTTGTTTTGCTTTTTAATGAATTTATTGTGCTGACACATTAGTCATTTTGTGGAATTGAATTTCCCACCAATCAAGCTAAAAAAAAAAAACTCCCCTTTTTGATCAAACCCCAAAGTCCAGCTGATGCATGGCAGATATTGTTTGGGTTTGAAACATATGGTGATTTAAAAAAAAAAAACCTGAATCCTCAACCACAAATACATCAGCATTTCAAAGGTTTCCAAAAATGTTTGATTCATCACGGTGCCAGCCCCTGGGATTAAACAATATGTTCCTCAAAGTCAAGATAATTAAGAGAAGTTTTGTAATGTCTCTTAGTTCATTACACAGTTTATCTGAATTACACTTAAACACTCTAGTTTCTGCTTATCCTCATATATACTGCTGCATATATGAGTTGAATATAGGAAACAGACATGGATGGAAGGCCTTATTTGGACTGGGTCTTACTGACGTGGGGGTTGTGCCTTAGCAGGCCTTGTTGTAAATGGCACAGTCCCCGCTCCACCTGTGATAAATACTGATGTGGCCTTACCGTCATCCTCTCTGCTGTGCAAGCATCTCTTTGGGCATTGTTTATGTTACAGAGCAGTGCTGTCTCCTGACTGAGTGTGGGCTCTAACTTTCTAGTTTTAAGTAGCAGAAGACAAGTGTGCCATAGGGTAAATCACTTAGGCTTCCTTTGTTTCAGTTTTTTTTTTGACCTATCAAGTAAGACTTTATTTTCTTTGTGGAGACATGCCCCCCCCCCCAAAGAATCCACTAAATAATGTATAAGATTTGAAGGTGGCACTTTTTTTTTTCCCTTAGGGAACTTGGGCAGAGTGTTTCCTTTGAGGAGAGAAAATGGTCCATTGTTGAAACATAGGATGAGATTGTGATTCTAATGTATTCTCTTTGAACCTAATGGTAAATGTTGCTTGCTGTAAGATGTGGTTATCAGGGCATTTCCTCTACCAGACCTTTCCTCCATAAGGCTGGTCCCTCTTGACTTACTAAAGCAAGATCCCACTCACACCCCTTCAATAGAACCAGTGCTAAATTTCTTAATTTTGGAGAAAGATATACTCCAATTATAGCTCACCTTCCTTGAAAGCCAGTATATAGATATCATATACATCCCACCTACTGCCCAGTGGGGCCAACCTACACTTTTCATTTAGTGAGACTTGGTGACTCACTGTAATTTGGTAAATTCTCTCTTCCTAATTGTTCCTTGTATTTAGTCAACATAGAGCTGCTCTTTGATACCAATCATTGTTTTGTAAATACAAAGGTAAATAAGATTCTGAGATGCTCTGGGAAAAACATTGATGTGTGTGTGTGTGTGGTGGAAAGAGACTTATAGAAAAGATATAGTCACTACTGTCATGAGCAGAGGCACTCAAAGAGTGTTAAGGATCACCAACAAATTAGTGACTGGGCAATCGAACCCAAGAATTTCTTTTCAAGATTGGAATAGAACATCATTTAATCCAGCCAAAGTAAAGTGGTTTTCCCAAGGCTGTGTAACTAGACAGTGGGGGAAAAAAAATGTGGGACATCACTCAGACTTTTGACTTTTGAATTTTCTTTAAAATGGTTCACATAGGACAGATGGCCATCCTGTATCTTGCTGGTTACCTACATTGTAGTCAAAAGTCAGAACAAAATTTGAATTTTAATGACAAACTTTCTGTTTCACCATGTGTACATCGAATTATTAACAAAAAAAATGTGGCATTTTTACACGTGCTAGAGTGTGACCTGCTAAAGTAGGAGCTTCCGGCTTCCTAGAGCAAGGGGAGAGTCTTTCCTTGAGCATCCGGGCATCTTGACCTCTGGTGTCACACACAGCCCTATTTTACCAGCATTACAAGGTTAATGGCATCCTCATTTTATAGGCCAAAATACTGGGACTCAGATTCATCACCCACCCACAGCCATCCTTGTTTAGATATCATCTCTGCTGCTCTCCTGTTAAAGTGTACACCCCACCAAGTCTCTCTCAAGACAGGATCCTATTATAGTGAGAATTTCCACACTTATTCTGAGCATCATTGGATCATGTTTCCCAAACTGGTTGCAGGGGGAGTATGTGCTGGGTCCCGCTTTGTATCCTATCCAGGAGGTGTCCCAACATCAGAGAGCATTCAGTTTAAGGGGTGACTGATTGTAAGAGAGCTGGAATTCAACCTCACTTCTCTCTGATGCAAGTAATCTGAATAAAGTTCTCAGATGCTCTTTGAAAAGGCAATGTGGGATTAAAAAAAAATTGCCCAATAAAATGACTTGTTGAAATGGGTGGGATGAGAGAGCATTAGAAGTCACCAGAAAAATTAGGAATCAGCTTATCAGTCCTTCAGCTCATTATTTGATTCTGTCAGGTCTTTGCCCGATATCAGTGGCAAACCTCCATATGGAGCTTGGAGCCTACATTTTGTTAGGGATGGAGAAAGGCAGGGTATTGCCTCAGTCTTGCCTGTGGATGGTGTGAGATGTTCGTGAACTGAGTCCCAGTTTCATTTGGACCCTTCAAAGCACAAATGAAATCAAGGCAGTGGAGGAGCTGGCACATGGAAGGGGAGTGCACGAATGCCACTGCTGTGCCACAGCTTAATTCTGAGTGGCCAAGCTTTTCTGTTTCAATTTCAGCCAAATACAGATATGTTTTTAATCTCTGAAATATACATTTTCTCAGAGATTTGAAGGTCATTCATAAAAATGATCTGTTCACATGATGCTTTTGCATTCTTATTTGTAACGTCAGATCACTGTTAATACTGTACTTGCAAAATTTCTGAATATTTGGCCATAGGCACAAGGCTCTGCTTGGGGCAGTTGCACGTGTTTACAGGAACCAGGAAGCGTGGGGGGGGGGCTGTGTAACTGCAAGGTTTACGCAGTGCCTTTCCCAAATTCTGTCCAGATCGCCCCTGCTTATCTCACACTTTGCTGGATCCTGCACAGCAGGGTGGGAAAAAGGATAAAGTTACAAGCAGAACCTATATTTGTTTTTGTTTAGTGAAGCCAAAAGCTTCAATATTCTTTTTATGAACTCTTTGTAAATGACAGTGACATAACCAAGAGATACGAAGAGCTCTGAAAGGATCTTCACTATCTGGGAGTGGAGGGGAAGCCAGGGAGCGTATTTGATGTGTATGTGTATATTTTTAAAATTGCATATAACCCATGTCTTCACCCTCTCTAAGAAAGACTAAAATCAATCAGAAGAAGAAAACTTGATACACAGGATTCTGTATGCCTGCCAAGTCCTGGAGGAAAGAACGACATTTAACTGAAAAGACACCAACCAACCATTAGATTCCTATGGTTGAATACGCACCAGATCCTGCACGCCTATATTTCACGTCAAAAATTGCTCCCTGAAGTGCAAACTGACGTCAATTTTGAGTAAAATTTAGCATTCAGATTTATAGCTACCTTGAAAACTAAGAGCTTATTTGTATCATATGAACCTGAACAGATTCTTAATTTTACCAGCCAGGTTGCACATGGAGAATCTGTTTTGTTATTGTTATTGTTGTTGTTTCTCATGTAGGTTTTCCAAAATGGGAAATGGTATGAGAATCTTGCCATATTACGGTATAAGTTTAAAAGCCAATGCTTCTCAGAAGAGATTTTAGTATATCTTATAAAGGTCTTAGAAAGGTTTAATGCTTTCCCCTCCCCTCTACAAGTCCAGTCTGCGGAGAGACACTGGCCCTTCGAGGGATCTCTCCGTGTCCGTGACGCCTGCAAGGAACTCCTCTTGCTTGTTCTAGTGGGCAAAAGTCATTTTTGTTTGCGTCAAAGAAAAGGTCGGAATGAACTAGGGTGAGCCTTTCATTTTAAGAAGAGCTAAAGTCTGGGGCGTTTTTTAATGTTTTAATCTCCATTTAATAGGTTTCTGTTACAAGAAGAAAATTGATAACATTTTTACCTCAGCAAACTGCCAGCAAACTGGCTCTGCTCTAATCCCACATTTATAGTGATTTATACTCTCCGTGGCCATGTGCTGTAACCTCAGAGTGATACCACTGTGGTGTGGATTGACTGCATTCCAAACGCTGGAATCACATACATAATGTTTTTACTTTTAAATAATATTCAGACACCAGAATAAATACCATATGTGCACTGATGCTGGGTACAACAGAACCCTGTCATGTGTGTATGGGGTGGGGGGAGGAGTGGAGAACATTCTTTGTTTCTGATTCCTGTTTGAAGTAAGTATGCAAAAGGTAAATATGTACATTGACAGCATTTTGAGAAGGGAATTATACATCTGAGGATGTGGCTACAATTCCTGGAGATGCAGCATTTACAACTAAACTGATTGGCCTGCGTTGCCACCATCCCTCTCACTGCCACACACAAGGCAAGGACTGCGATCTGACATTTCCAGGGCAGGATCTGGCTGTTGTATTTTATGTCTACGGCATGCTGTAGTTAAAGGACATCTGCTGAAGAAAAACGACCTTCACGAGCACTCTTCATACGAACCGTGAGACTAACATGCCGATGACATTGAAACAGAGAGAGTAACACACTTGATAATGGGGAAGGACGAATGGATTGGGAAGGCATAATTCAGTGTGGGGGCAATGTCATCCGATGCCACAAAAGTGGAGTTGAGGTGGCCTGACATCATCAAAATACAGATAATCAATCTCTCCAGCTTCACTTTTTCCCACATGATGCTGAAGATTTAAAAGTTTCATGAAGTTTAGAAATACCTCCCAAGTCATGCATTTTTGCATTTTTGTTTTTATCCATCTTGGTTGGAGTCCTAATCCACTTAGACATATTTTTAAAATAGACATGGTAGAATGCCTTTCATATTTGTACATCTGTAACAAGCTCCAACAAGTCAATCCCCATTTGCTTCTTGGGGAAGCATTTCCAATCCAGGTTTGTATGATTACCATTGGCTGAGCTGTATTGAATTAGTGCTCATAACATTTTTATAATATTTTATACATGATGAAACCCTGGGCATTGAAATTGATGGCTTCCCTACCCCTTTCCATCCCCATCCCCACCCAGTTTTTGCATGGTTTGCCCAGAATATATAGTGTGAGATTAATGCGTAATACATCATCATGTATCTGACATTCTGTCTGGCACAGGACACGGCTGGGTAAGTAGGGCCTCCCCTGCAGGAGTGTTCCCGACCATTACGAAAATATGGAAAAGTCTCTCTTTGCAATTGGGAGGTTAGGAGACAAACAAGGACCTTCTAACGTGGTGTTCCTCTTTTTCAGCTTTCCGGATGATCCCTTACCCCTTGGAAAAAGGGCACCTGTTTTACCCTTACCCCATCTGCACAGAAACAGCAGACCGAGAGCTGCTGCCGTGTGAGTGTCATTTTTTCTTAGTCCTCTCTCCGCAGCCCGTGAGGGCAGCCTGGCCAGAGGGGGTGGTGGGAAGAAGTGGGAATGATAAATGTCTATAACGTTCTTTGTCTTTTATTGCTTTGCTTTCTTCCCAACCCCTGCTCTTGTTTGATAGCATATGTATTAAAGTGAGTTATGCGAGTGGGTTTGGCTTCAAGCTCTCCAAATTTATCAAAGGGAAAGATGCCAAAAGACTGAAATAGAGATGGAAGAAGCATCGTGTGCTGATGGGCCTGTGCCCAGAGACCCCCCGGTTTGGGGTAGATTTTTCCCCTGCACCAGCCCCTGCTAGGGGGTTCTGTCCTCCAGCTGGTCAGAGGAGGTCTGTACCGAATGCAGCTCAGAGAGCAAGTGCTGACTTGAGAGGGAGCTGCCGATGAGTCATGGGTGGGAGGGCAACGCCAGGGTGCTGGCCTGACTGGGCGGAGCCACGGGCGGGGCGGGGGTGCCGTGGCTGGTGACGCAGTGCTCCTGGCCGGAGGGATGCTGCGGGGCCTCTCGTGGGTTGCACAGAATGAGTTGGCGTAACATGTGCGGAGCACACGTGCAGCCTCAGCACACGCGAGGAAAGCCCTGTCCTCGAGAACCTTGCAAGCAGGCAGCCTGATGGCCCCTACCACATGTGGAAAATATTATTTTGGTTTTCTGCAATACAACATTGTTTTGACAATTCGGCCTAAATAGTGATTATCAGATCAGACTGCGTGTACAGCTCGTATCCAGGCTCTTGACCGGTCCTGACGGGGACATAGTTTTCTTCCTCAGATAATGAGCTCCACGCTTTGACTATTTCTCTGTTCCCTGTCCTCACTTCTGCCTTGTCTTTCCTGTTACCAGCCCGCCCCGGTTATACGAAGGTCTGGTCACTATGACTCGGAGAAATAGTGGGACTTGGGAGCCCGGCGAGCGCAGGGAGTATTCAGATGCCAGCACCGTGGAGCCAACCACAGGGCTCCCTTTGATAGCATCCGGGTCAAAGGCCAAACTGGTCGTGAGACGGAGGCAGCAGGAGGTGCAGCCTCCCTTGCCGGGAACGAATGTGCGAGATGTTCCATGGGGAACCGAGGGAGTTCAGCGATATTCTCCTCATTGTCTGAGTTTTATTGTTTAAAAAACAAAAAAGGCTTTGGTGCCTCACACAGCATTATGTTTTCTTTCAGCCATGCCTGCCATGGGGCCATAGTTTACCTTTTGACTCTCTCTTCAGGGAGAGGGGCCTGCTGAACTTTCAGTTTTCTGCTAAGACAGTTTTCCGAAAAGCACAGTGTTTTTAAATGTTTTAATTGAGTCCCACGAAGTTTCCATGGAGATAGATTAGCTATTAGAACAAGATTACAGAGTTCTCACAAGAAAAACTCCATCAGGATCGTCTCTGGGAGCCTGAAATAGAAGAATTGTAGCTCCCTTGGATGTAAGTGAAGGCAGTGGTTCAAGCCTGTGTCCCTGCAGATCCTTCCTGAGGTAGGAGGGAGGCCATGCGGCAGGTTGGCTGTCTGCAGTGCAGCCTCTAAGTGGCCCATTAAAAGGAGACATTTCGTCACAGTCGGTCCCGAGAGCAGTTGCACCGTGTGTTTGATTCCTGTTGGGCCAAGTCACCTGGATTCGGGTAGGCACGCCCTTCTGGGCTGCATGCTCTCCTGAGCCTGTCCCCTCGCATTGAGCAATGCGGATTCACACTTACGGCTCTGAGCAACAGGGACCGCGTGTCTGAGGAGGGGCGTCTGGATCCTGTATTTCCCAAGAAGAGTGGGCTCCTCAAGCCCTTTCAGTTAGAGCGGTGATGGTGCTCCCCTGCAGCTGCCCAGCTCATCTCCCCAGCTTCCAGGCCCAGCACGTGGCCCTTTCTGCACTGGCCAAAGCACAGCCCATCCCACTGCAGTCACAGGCAGCCACTCCCTGAACAGAATGGACGAGTTGATTCTCGGCTGTTTTTGTGTTAGAGCTTTTTGATTATCCTCAAACCCAGTGTCTGAAGCTTGGAAGTTGCGAAAGGCACTCTAAAGAAGCACCTGGTTTTTTGTCTTGTGATGATCGTTGGAAGTATATTAATCAAGGGTCTCCTGCAGTTGGCCTTGACCCTCAACCGGTGCAGGGTGATCAGGCCAGCATGTGAGGTTTTTGTTAAATGTCTCTGTCGGGGTAGTATTGTCCACTGACATTTTTAAAATGTGCCAGGAAAAAGACAAAGCAAGGTAAACTAACTTTGCCTCACAATAATGATATGGCAAAATGCAGAAAGATGAAAATAGAGACCAGGGATTTTTCCCCTTTTCCCCCCAGTACATTTGGTTTGGGATTTTTATAGGTGTCATACAGCGAGTGTGTGTTTGGTTCTTTTGTGGAGAAACATTATGTATCAGGCATAGAGGATGCGACTATTCCTGTCTGGGTGTGTGTGCCATCACATGGAGCCTCTAGTGAGAGCCCTGAAGGTTGGTCATGGACTTGGGAGAGCCAGTCAGGGCTGGGTCAGACGTTGGCTGTGCTTTGCCAAGTGTCCTGCCTTTTTCATTCCAACAGGAAAAGCTGAATCTACAAAGAATCCGCCCCAGCCTACAGAAATCCCCCAGGAGTGTGCTTCCCACGGCCCTTATGGTTCCCTTTCGGTCTTCTCCACAGCTTTCCATGAAGTCTCAGTTTACCCAAAGAAGGAGCTCCCCTTCTTTATTCTCTTCACTGCTGGATTGTGTTCCTTCACAGCCATGCTGGCTCTCCTGACACATCAGTTCCCGGAACTTATGGGAGTCTTCGCAAAGGCCGTGAGTGTTTGCCAAGAAGGGGGCCTCCAGGGACACGCAGGGAAAGCCAGAGGAGGCAGCCTAGGGGGAACTTCGCATTGTCGCACAGAGCATTTGCAAACCGTTCAAAGTTCACTATCACCAGTGAAATCGAAGAGTTAAGGTTCAAGGGATAAAATGTGGGTTATTCATGCATGCCTTGCCTCATTTCACCAAGCAAATTCTCAACAGTTTAAAAAAAAAAAAACTCAAAATCCAAAAAGGTAGATGAAATAATGTACAGACTGTTAGCAAATGAGGAATGTGTGGGGAGTTGTTTAGTTTTGTATAAACCAAATGTGTCGTTATTTCTTTGGCTACCAAAGGGGCTTTCCTTCATGAGGATGAGATGTACGACAATTTAAATAGTTTGTTAAATGACCACAAGCCTTTAGCTCATTTAGGGAATGAACTGAGAGGGTGTGAAAGGCTTCAGAAATATGTTTCGTGACAATTAGATATAAGCAAATCCAATGAGAGTCTCTAAGGATGGACGGAGAGGGGAGTTAGAAAAGCCATCTAAATGGATAGCGCAGGGCCTTTGTCCCCAGGTTGAGAACTGACCATTTCAGCCTGGCCATGCAGTGAGGGCAGGCGCACCGATGTGGCCATAGATGAGTCTTAAACAAAAAGAATAGGGGAAGAGAATTACCAGTTGCTTCCCTGGAATTCCATTCAGATTTCAAGATGAGTGGACTCAGAAAGGATCATTTCTAACTTGGTTGGGTTGATTTAATCCCTTTCCAGATGATTGACATTTTCTGCTCGGCAGTTCAGGGCCTGGAATTGCAAGAGTGTTTTCATGTATGTTGAAGATGAACTGGGAATTCCACCGGCTCCTCAATCTCCACATTTCCAAAATTGAGCTCATCATCCTTCCCCCCTCTCCGCCCCAACCAGCACCCAAACTGCCCCTCCTCAGGTTTCCCGACTTCCACCAGTGGGCCTGCCATCTATTCAGTTACTCAAGCCAGCATCTCAGCAGCCCTCCCTCGTTTCCTCCATCCCGTCCCTCTTGGCCTTCGCAGTCTGTCCGTTCTAACCTTCGAGCAGCCAGGTGTTCTGCCAGTGTGATTTACCTCTTCTTTTTCTCCATGTCTCACCACAGCAGCTCTCTTACGTTAGGTCCTTGTTATTCCTTGTATAGGCTCCTGCATTGGGCTTAACTGGTCTCCCAGCTCCTAGTCTTTGCCAATCTTTTTCCTCCATACTGACAGAAGAATGATCTTCCTATATTGAAAATCTAAGCACGTCACTTCCCTGCTTGAATATCTCCAATGGTTTCCTACCCACTGCAGGACAAAGTGCAGATGGTTAGCATGACATCCAGAGCCTTTGATCATCTGCCCTTGCTTGCCTCTTCTGCCTCCTCTGTCCCAACTTGCGCACAGACCGCTACTCTTTGCTCCTAATGCGTTGCTCACCGTCCGCAGATGCACCAGATAGATGCTCGCCCACCTCAGCGCGTTTGCATGTGCTGTTTGCACACAATGTTCTTCTTTGTCACTGGCTGCATTGTCACTCCACTAACACCTGTTCACTTTTCCATGCTCAGCTTTCTTTAGATTTCTCCTGAGCTGAGTTAGATATCACACTGTGATTCCACAGTGTTCCATGGGTGCCTATATCATCACATTTATTACGCTGTATGATGACTGTTGAAAACTTGCCTGTCCATCTGTAGAATGTGAGCTCCTTGAGAGCAGGACTGTGTCTTCCTCATCACTGTATCCCCAAAGCTTTGCACAGTGCCTCATACGTAGGTTTTCAATAAATGATTAAAAAAAGATAAATGGTAGTGGTCTCTGCAGAAATAATCAATGTAAAATCAGACAAGCTTCTGCACCCTTTTCTCCCTTTGCAGTTGCAGTCATGCATTCTTAGAGTTGAAAGGAACTGTAAACAAATTGCCTTCAACAGTAACACCCAGCAGAGGCCATTTAGACCCATCTTGAATACTTCTAGTGATTTGGAGCTCACTTCCCTAACAGCAAAGCTCATTCAGTTGTTGAATCACTCAGAATTCTGCCCGTCATTACTAAGATATGCCTTCTTTCATTTCCACTCATTATTTTTATCCTGCCAAACAAACCTACTTTCTCTTTAAAATTCTTAAAACAGCTCGTTTCTCCGTGGCCCCCTTCTCTTTCTCCAGCCTGATTATTTTAAATATCCTTAAATCTGCTTTACATATTAGATTTCCAAATTCAGTATCACTGAGGTTGCCACCTTGCATGTTGCTTAGTTTATGGAGACACACTATTCATTATCCTAGTCTGAGTAAAAGTAGTTATTAAAACCCTGAGCATGTTAGATGTGACCTTCATAAAATTTTGATAATAATATATGTACATTAGATAATCACTGTCCCACCTTGTTTCTCTCTTAAGCATGTTTTTGAATATTTTTGTCAAAGAATATCCTTGGGCCAATAGTGATCTAGAATCAGTGCATTGATTCACAGCCTCTAGCATGCATAGAATTCACCTGGTCGTGCCACCAGCAATTCAAAATCCTGAGTGTTAACACTCAGAAAGCTGTATTTTTAACATGGCCCAGGCGATCCTGAGGATGGGGGTTGGGGACCACATTCCCTTCCAAAGACATCAGTGTCACCAATCCTTTGAGCAACTGTTTGCAGCCAAGTGGTAGCTGGTTGAGCTGTAAGGCAGCTTCCACAGGGTCGATGCCTGCTGCCACTTGTGACTGGCTTGGTCCAGGTGTCACATGGGCCTTTCAGCTGTCAAAGGTTCAGCTTTGCGAACAAGGCTGAGAACCACCACGTGAATGAACAGGCTGACTGCCCGAGACTTCCTTAATCAGCAAGGGCAGTGGGAGGTGATGGGCTTTTACACAGACTATGACTAGCTGTGCTCCAGATGCCAGAAAGGTGATCTGGCTAAGGATGCTCACCAAGAGGCCAATCTCAGTTCGTATTTCCAAGACTGTTTTTGGTTTTTCAGGCTAGAAGCAAATGATTTTATAAAATAAAAATATTTGCCTTCAGGGTCCGCATGTTTCCTATATATGTGTTAGTTTGATCAGTTGTCCATGATCTTCAAGTGTTGTTTAAAGAAGTTTGTTTTTAAACCTCTGTCTGGAGGAACACATTTATCTTGCCCTCTGTTGGGGTCTAGCGGTCTCCAGAAGGTCTGGTGAGACTTGGTGGGGAAGGAAGATGGATGGCCTGAGAGAGACAAGCCCCTCCCCACCCCCGCCCCCCGGGCCTTCTCCAGCATCCTTTCCACTGTCACTTGCATCAAGCCCACCCTGCACCCCACAGGTTATCACAGCTGCCCAAAAGGCCATTTGCAGCTTGTGAAAATGATTTTCTCAGCCTTCTCCTGAGATAATGTCCCTGGGATAATGACTTTGAGTAGATGCAGAGAGATTGCACTGCCACCCCGCCAGGCTGAGCAGCTTGGGAACTCGGCCACATGTTTACATGTTGGTCTGCAGCCAGCAAGGCATCCCACAGTGAGGGAAGAATTGCTGAAAGACAGTCCAAGGAGGGGCTTCATGGCCTGCCCTGCTCCCATGTGATGGACCTTAATGTCTTAAGACTACCTCTTCCTCGGATATTTAGCCACCTAGGCAGATAAGGTTGCTCATAAATAAGTTATGCCAGGCTCCCTCCTCATGGAGTGTGGGAAGATCTCCCGGGCTGACCTTCTGTTCTGAAAGGCCCTGTGTTTTAACCCCTCTGGTGCCTCTCCTTCCAGAGCCTGAGCCCCCTGACTTTTGACTCTCACCTTCACTTATAAGCCCTGACCTCTTTGAAGTCTGATATTGATTAAAGTGAAATGTCGATTATCTGATGGCACCAGGGCACCTGGAACATATTCAGATAAGCAGAGGCAACTGGCCACTCATGCAGCCTATTGGGAGCCATGACCTTCTTCTAAGTAATGGTGGCTCAGGAAGAGAAGGATCAGGCGATTCAAGTCAGTCAGTCAGTCTCTCTCTCTCAGCTGAGTTGCTTTCTCTCACCACATGGCACTGATTGAATCATGGGGGCATTTTGGTTTGGGCTCTCTGCCCTCTGAACAGAGGTTTTAGGTATTGAGATAGATAGGCTGTTCCAGGGTTGCCTGGGGTTGCTCATGCAGACTTAACTTTTCAAGCAATAAATTTCTGCCCAATTCCAGAAGTGAAAGTGCCTGTGTATCGGTTGGGTCTTGGGCAAAAGCAGTATTGACTAATTTTCAGGTGTGTAAGAAAGTACGACTAAGCATAACCAGCAAGGCACGCTCCTGCAAAGTTTCAAAGCTACCACCTGCTGAAAGTGGTGGATGTCGATCTGCTTCTCAAAGACAAGTGCTCAGGCACTTTGCATGCCTCACCACGCTGTCTCCTTTCTCCTCCTGGTGTGGGGTGGGGAGGAGAGCGTGGGGAGACATGCCAGGAAGAAGGCAGCCTATTTGCAGGAGAGCCAGTTAGGCTCTCAAGGATAAAGTTCAAAGGAATCTTTGTCCATTCCCCCCAAGGATGGAGCATTCTAAATGTGAAGGAGAGACATAAATTAGCATTGCATGCATTTTAGGCAAAGGGCCTTAATTCTCTTGCAAAACCCTTGTTGAAAATACCAATTGGAATACAGGAAAGAAGGCTCCTGTGTATGTTACCCTGCAGTTTGGGCATCAAATAGAGTGAAATTTCCTCTTGATTTGGAGCATCATGGACTTTTTAGGTCGGTGCCCAAAGGAAAGTAAAAACGAAGAAAAAGCACCTTTGTCTTGAATTAACTGTGCGATTTATTCTCTGTTCATTCTGTATCTCAGGTTGAGGCTCCTGGTGTCCCCGCTTCTCAGTGTGGGCGGTCACCCAGACTGAAGACTTGGAATGACACCTGTCACAACCCTGGCACATGTCTCATATTTAGCCATTCCTTTCCCACTCCCTCACAAATTCAGCAGTTCTGAATGTTTTTGGTCGGGTCTTTAGGATGTGGTAACTTCACCAGCAAAATCTCTTTGTTTATGGAGTTCTATCTTCCAACACCTGTTGGAATCTCTGGCTTATCCAGACCACTTAAGCACTTATCTCCTCTTTTAGAGTTGAGTATTATGGGAAAATGCTGTGGTTTATTGAGCCATAGCAGAGAGAGAGAGAGAGAGAGAGAGAGTGTTTGAAAGGGACACATGATAATTACAACACATATTTAAGTATGTATATTTACAAGGGGTGAAAGTTCATGGGAAATAGAACCAAAAGATTATTTTGGCCACAAAAACTTGAAATCCTTGCATCTGAAGTCTTTTAAAGTGCATAGAAAATGTGTAGTATAAATTTTTTACTAATACAAATCATTGAATTTCATCTTGCTATGAACTTTTCTCCCATCCAAGCACTAACCAGGCCCGCCCCTGCTTAGCTTCAGAGATCAGACGAAGTCGGGTGCATTCAGGGTGGTATGGCCGTAGACACTATGAACTTTTCTGAAAAACTCATTCTATACATGTTTAATTTTATATTGTATTGAATTGATTTCATTGCTAGGCTTGTTCCACATTTATTAATCCTCTGATATGAGGATTTTACAAGCATATTCAGTGGCAGATTGAGCAGTAAGTACTCCTGTCTGAATTCAGTGTCTCAGTAATTGTCTCCTAACTGCTTCATGAATGGGACCCAGTTTAGTTCTAAACTGTGGGGAGAGGTAGGCCATCCATCCAGTAGGATGAGCATCCCAAGAAGGTTGTCAAAAACTGCCATCCACCTGACATCCATTTGAGGGCAGGACAACTGTGCTTTTGCTCAAGCATAAACACAGCTATCTGTTCCTTACCTGTGCCCCGGCCTCGTGCAGGTTCCTCCCAAGCAGATTCTGGTCACTCTGAAACTTGCCCTCTATATATGCCAACTCAACTGAGCTGCACGTCATTTCCCTTGCCTTCCTGTTTCTTCTGTGGCTGCCTTTTGTTTTTGTGTTTTGACCCTGTTAGGCCCACCCAGCTCCTATTTTTCATCCTTATTCCATTTCTTCTATCATGCTTCTCCAACCATCCATTGGGATCTTTCTTGAGAAGTTTTTCCTGATCCTTTTAATATCATTTTTCTGAACTCTTCTGATTCTTTGTTCCAGCTTCTGTCTTGCGTGGCTATCCTGCTGTGGTGTAACTGGCCATTGTTTTGCTCCGCCCAGCCCGAGTGGCTTTGTCCCCTCCATCTGTGGGCCTTGAGCTCTCTGGCCAGGGAAAGGGGTTGGAAATATTATTCTGAACTCCTTACTGAGTTTATGTAATTGATGAAAGTGACAGAATAGAAATGGATTCCAAATGAACACTAATCAGTTTCCTTTATGCAAATCTCATACTTGGTGATCAAGCTATAATGTGTTCCAAAGTCTTTCCAAGTGTGTGGTCTCAAAAGACCAAAAACAAACAAATAAACAAGAATACATTCCTGAGGTCAGTGAATTTAGGAAACTTGCCTACCATACCTCTTCATGAAGACCCAGAATCCATGGAATATAAGCCTAAGCAGGAGCCTTTTTGACCCTATTAAATGTTCTCTCTGCTAAACTTTTTTAATGGCAGAACCACATGCCCCTCCGTGAATGGTGTACACCCTCTGTTATCCCTTCTGTGGGAAATCCTGGGTGGAGTAGGCAGAACTGTGCTATGAGCAAGGGATTAGGACAGAGTTCTACAGTAGAACCAAGTGTTGGACCATGGCGGGATGATATGGGACAAACAGACCATCCGTGTATCATCTCTTCCCTACCTGTGGGGTCTACCCCTCCTGCCACATGCTGTGTGGTTTGTGGAAGGAAGCGGGCTCTTCAGAAATGTGGCAAATGCATCTGAGGCCAGGGGCCTGACTCGTGAAAGGCATAACTAGGGAGCATTGTTCTCTGCATGAAAAGAGGAAGGAATTTAGTAGCTGAATAAAGATTACTAAAGGGCCGCGCCAAACCTCCCCCCCCCCAACCGCCACGGACAAGGACAAGCCCCTGCAGAGTGGGCAGCTCACAGCCAAGGGGATGCCTGCAGCCAAGCAGATGGCTCAGAAATAAACAGGACTGCAAAGGTGCTGGAGAGGCAGCCGGATCCCAGAGCAGTTTACATCCATCAAACCAACTGGCTGAACAGGTGGTCTAGACTGTCACTGTTTCCCCTAAAGTCTTCAGCCCGCTTGCCACCCAGCTGTCATTCCTGTTGGATGACACTGATCACCATGTGGGCAGCCAGCAGATCCCGAAGACAAGTGGGATGACCTGTGTACCACGCAGGTCGACTGTGCACTGAGTGAGGGGGCTCTGAGCAGACGCTGCTTCCCTTATCTCCCGGGGCAGGCAGC